CTACTAGACGCGCGTACACTATTCCGCACTCTCGTCCGAGTTAAATATCGCACAATTCACATATCTACGTGACGAAGAAGCACGTACTTCATCTAGCTATCTAGATCAACGACGGGTCTTGAATTTCGCTAAGAGAGCCGCATGGGCTCCCTGCATCGTGTCTGGCGGGGCACCGACGTTTTGCCCACGCATCGAGCGACTGCCCACGCGTCGAACGAGCGACTGCCCACGCATCGAGCTCGGTCGCCCCACCTTGGCGCTTATCTCACCTACATACCATCGGGTGAGGCGCCAGCTTGAACGCAATTGGTTGGCGTTAAACATGACCAAATTTGGGCATAAACAGCGACTAACGCCGGTGTTCCTCAAGGGTCCGTTCTCTCCGCAACTCTCTTTCTGCTGCATATTAATGATCTGCTTATGCCCGGTATCTATGGGTATGCAGACGATAGCACAGTTGTTGAGAGATACCAACCAAGTCTTCGGGCCAGTCGGGGTCGAATCCAGTCCGAAAGAGAAGATATGGTAGAGCGTGTGAATCTCACACTACAGGCAGTCTCCGAATGGGGCGATGCCAATCTTGTGAAGTTCAACGCCTCCAAAACATAAGCGTGTCTCTTCACTGCAAAAAGGGGCCAGCTCACCTTGGCTCCTTCTTTCCGAAATGTATCATTGAAATATTTTAACCGCCTTCAGTTGTTAGGGTTTGAAATATCCTCAAATTTGAACTTCGGGCGGTTCATTGAGTCCAAGCAAGTTTGCAAGGAAGCTGGGAGTCCTTGCAAAGGTGCGCGATACTTCACGCCGGGACAGCTGCTTACTTTATATAAAGCGCAAGTCAGGTCGTGGATGGAGTAGGTATTGCTGCCATATATGTGCTGATGCTGCAAAATGCCACCTAGCAGCTTTGGACTCAATGGAAAGGAGTGCTAAGAGGCTTATTGGTGACCCGAATTTGGTTAAAACCAATCTTACCAGTCTCGAACACAGACGTAAAGTAGCCAGCCTTTCGGTTTTCTACAGGATGCATTTCGGAGTGTCCGCAGGAATTGCATAATTTAATTCCATCATCGGACAACCAGACTTTCGGCCAGTCTCCACCCTTTCGTTGTTGACTTACCACGCATTCGAACCAAACGGTTCGCCACGTCGTTCATCAAGCGTACAGCAAAGGAGTGGAATAAGTTGCCAGCATCTGTCTTTCCATCCGATTACAGTGTGGATGTTTTCAAGGCAAGAGTGAATAGGCTTTTGTTAAGTCAGTGCGCTTCACCATCTTTGGCTACATCACCACTTACCATCAGGTGGGATCGTTAGGAAGCGCTAGCTTAGTAGAATATAAAAAAAAAACATCTTTCATAATGAAAATATTTTCTGAAATTTATTTCATTGGTTTGGATTTGAATATATAGTATTTAATATATAACTTTTTGCTTAAATCAGTTATTATTGGTCCAGAATACTTCAATTTCGTTTGTAGGCATTTCCTCGCAATAGTGTATACATACATTTAAAGACTTTTTGTGAGATGTTGAATCTGTATGAGATATTTACTATATATTAATTCATTATTTTAAAATTGTATGTAAGATGTGATCACAATCGAAAGTAAGTTCACGTGTTGCAAACAAAAAAGAAAAAAATGGTCTTATCAATCCGCAGGTTTCCTACAATAGAAGAAAAACTTATAACAATATTGTGGTAAATTTTAAAGCATTTTGAATTTATTGATCATTATTTGTAGGAATTATTACTATATTGACTCGAATTTTATCTGTTTCAGATCTTGTATTTGGGCTGAGTTAAGTTTTCACTATGAGAATTTTGCTGATTTAAATTTACGTTAATGTTCTGTGAAGAATAACTGTCACAATAACATGATATATATCAATATTAGGCGTGGAAATATTACCTGCAATAGCAATAAAAACATCAATAAAAAATATTGTGTATAAAACAATCAGTCTTCCAAAAAATAAAATTACCTACATAACTATACCTATTTTTAGTTTCATATTATCTCGCATACTCCTCTATAGTAAATTTGAGTAATTTTGGTGCAACCTCTCAAATGTATGGAAATTCACCCAATGGGTTTTTGAGGCTATATATAATAACTTTTAGGCAAAAACAAATCTTTTGACAACAAACACTGCAAACATTCAAATTACGGTTGGGATAGACCCATACTTAAAAAGAAAATAAGCTTTGTCATATGACATATTCATTGTAAACCCATATCTATCTATACTTATTAATAAGAAAGCTGTAACGTGTACGTTATAGCCATATTGTTCTGCAGAGTAGTTTTGTATAGAATTACTCTACAGACTTAGGGTTATATATGTACTGTGCTGCAGACCAATATGGCTGCGGCACGAATCTTTCAAGGAAGGAAATTATCCCGCTCGCTTAAAATACCAACGTGAAGTGCCATTTTGATTCTTAATCGAGGGTAAATGGAGAATTATGTAAAGATGAATAATGTGCCTCGTTTGTCACTTTTCTATAAAAAAAAAAAGTAACGGTTCGTTACCGCTTTTAATTTTCTCTTTTCATTGTTTGCTAAAATTAGATGTTGATTGACAAAAAGTAACAATTTAAAGTGCTCGAGATCCAGCGGTTATCAAGACCAAGGTACTTAACGTTGTGGCGACCACGACAAGAACCAGAGAATTGATCGTCCTAGGTGGACAGTCGACGTCAGACAGATTGTTTATCCACCCACCTTCCTATAATAATAGCTCCATGTAAACGATGAACTGTTTACGGAGTGATATTCTGGTTCATCCGTAGATGATTTTTTCGCCATTAGTGTATCAACAGGATGCACTTCGCATTTTTTCATGGGGAAATGCCTACGTATAATGTACCTTGCGGGAGCAAAGATCAAAACCTCATGATGTTCCACTTTCACTGCATATAGGCACGGTTACAGAAACCATTTCACCCCACCAGTGCCACTCCTTTGCGGCCCACTCTGAGAGAACACACCCCCTTCTCTTCGGACAACGCGCGCTTTCCTTTACGGACTCTGGACTCTTCAAAAGTGCGGCCTTGCCAAAGTTACGGAGGGTAGAACTAATAGCACCTCGCCAACCACCAACCGCCTCCTTTCTTGCGATCCATCTCGACTGCGGAGGGCAGAAGGCAACCATCTCGCAGTATTTCACCAACATTCATCCACAACAACGTGATCACGCCCGATTGACATATTGAACAAAAGTTTAGATATTTCCCTTACACCACCTAATGGCTTTAGTTGTTTGTTTTAAAGAATAGAATGAAATAATTGATAAATGCTGATATAATCTTCTTTATTTAAATGGAAGTTGCTACTTATTAGAATATCTTTCGCCATCCTATTTAATTATAATATTACACTCTAAGACTAGAAATTAAAATATAGACACATGAATATTAAAATAATAACATAAATTTACAACAAACTGGCTGGCACATTTTAGTCTTAGAGAATAACAATCAATAAAGGTAGTTAATTACGTCACATTTTAATAATAGTTTCATATCAATTTCTAAATAAACAACATTTCATGCTTTAATAAAATTTTGTTGCTATATACAAAAATAAAACATGGCCTAATTTTTCACCTTATAACAATGGCTGATGCAAACCCGGAAATATAAATATTGAATACTGTGCATCTATGAGATCATATTGAAAGTTTTAATTACTATGTATAAAGATTATATATTTCATAAGCATCTAACTTAATATTTTACATATTTATTGCGTAATAAACACTACATTTTCGTAATGTAATTAAATGATTTTCAATCCAAATTAGGCATAAATGAGCCAGTACGTTAAAACAAATACTCATATTATCCTAAATAACATACATGCAACTTAAAAATCTAAAATAAATAGCTAGTCAAATTATAAAATAACCCCTTATTCTATTTAGAATTATCTACAACACTTAGGCCGGTATTCAGGGACAATATTGTGTTTAAACACAAACTCTACAATGTCAACTATTTACACAAATTTTGACACTGCAAAGTTTTAGCACAAACTCGAAATTGTCTCTGAATAACATGAAAAACGACTCTAGACATTTATATTATGTATGATTTAGACACTATTTGAAGTTATACATCTTTTGGCGCGTTTGGAAAAAATTATGAGAGTGAATTTTTACGATGCGCGCGCACACCTACATCTAAAAACGACACCATGAAGTTGTTACGATGCGCGCACACTGACACCTAAAAGCAACAACTTCAGTGGGTAATTGTCTCTCAAGTTTTTTTGTTTTGTTACGCTAAAGAAGTATAAATTCCTACGTGCGTGCATAAGTACACAACACTTTTTTATGTAATTACGATAATATAAGAGATTCTGGATTTTTATACATCTATGTGATATGGAGTAAGTGCGACGTGTAAGTGAAAATGTACTTTTACTATTGTAATAATAATCACGGGTATGAAGATACTACCCTTATGAGTGAAGACTGGAGACTACAACCACACTAATTGCTATAACAACTTTAAATGCATTTGTGGTTTTATAGCCATTCACCTATGATTTAAAGCTATAGAAATTGGGAATAACTTTTTATAGCAAGCTAATTTTCGATAATAACACTATTTAGTAATACTGAAAAGAAAGTTTTAAAGAAGCAAGAAAGGAGGTGAAGAGAAAGTAAGTCCATTTTATAAAAATATAAACTAATGGATGATTTTGCAATTGCTAAATAAAATAGGAAAAGTATAAAATTATACAAATAACTTTATAAAAATTGTATGTAAAAATAATTATAAAATTTAGATTGCGTATCTCTATTATAAATACAATATCATTTTTATTTAATTTTTTACAAGATGTATAAGATGTAATTGCAATTAAATGTTTATTTATGTAGATACAAGCCACAGCCAGCTGTGTGGGAAACGATAAGTAACGAATACTTCTGCCTAGCCTAGTTAAACATTAAGTACAAGAAAGTGCAAAAATAAAGTAAGACATTTATTTACTGGCCTACGTCTAGATTTGTAGTTTTATCGCCAAATGTTGGTTCATCCTTGAGGAATGTTCCGGAACGTTCCATCACCGGTATGTCAGGCACGCGTTCCTGTGTTTGCCTGCTCATGTGTTTTGTTGCATGTTTGGATTGTTTCAAGCTCACGCCTTTGCACTCTTTCGTAATTTTCGGCACCATTTTTGCTTGACTAGCTTTGGTTGCGTTCATTAGTGATGTGGTCACTTTTCTTGTAGTCTCTCTGTGCGAAGTCGACGGCATCGAATTGGTTATTGAAAATTTTCTGTTAGAATTGTATTGCCTTTGGGAGTCGTGGTTCTCCGACTTTGATATTTGACTCACAAGCACTGGTATCTTTGTTTTCCCGGCGGGATTCAAAACTGTTTGAGCAGATTGACATTTGGCGACTTTAATGGCTGTAAAAGACATTGATTGAGTAAAGATTTGTATGACAAAAACTGAGAAACATTCTAAAGTTACTTACATTCAATGGATCCTTTGTTTTTTGCGTGTTTTATTTTGGTGTAGGTTGCGTATTTATTACTCGCTTGAGACTCGCTAAGAGAATCTGTAGAAGGCTCTGCCGTTCTTGGACGTGATGACGTCGCTAAGCTGTCTTGTGACATAGCTTGCGCTTTAGCTTCACAGGCTTGCTTTATCTTTGCGCGACTGGCCCTTAGGTTCTTTTGCACTGGGCTCGAGTTCCTTGACGATTCACTGGACGAAACGATTTTGTGTATATGGGTTTTGGGTGGAATTTTCTTCTCGTTATCTTTTGTTCTCGGCTCTAAATATCTAGGTTTAGTATTTTGAAATGCGTTCAGTCGTCCGCCTTGGGTTTTCGTGTTGATTCTTTCTTGCGACTTATTTGTTTTGATCAGATTGTATTTGGCGCGTTCCTCTTGGGCTTTGGTCGTTCTGACCTTCGGTGGGATCGTACGCGCCGATTTCTTTAAGTCCTTGAGTTCGTTGTTGCTCTTAATGATATCTCGTGGATTAATCTGTGTAACAGGTTTTGATGCATATGGAACGAACAGAGCGCGCACATGTTCCATATCCAAGTTGCGAGAGTTACTAGAGTTGTTCGATTTGGGCGTCTTATTGTGATGATGTGATTTATTTTTCCTGTCTTGGAGGGGGGAAGGAGTAACGGGAATAGCTTGGGCACCATACATGATGCAGCCGAGTTCGCGTAATCTCTTCCGTAAGTCGGAGGGTAGATCCTTAAAAGCTTGTGTACCCACAACTCGAGGTGCGGCACGTACTAAAGCGCCCTCACACTGCAATCGCCAGCAACTGCCGTGGGTGTAAAGAAGGTTGCTCTGTCCTGTAGCTTTGGACGCTTGATTGCCGTTGCTAATGAGATCAGGCTTCGAGAATTGGTTGTGCTTATCTTTTACTAGTCCGGAAAGGAATGCATAGGCACGGCACGTTTCTTCTGAGGGGGCCCATTCGATGGCGGTAGCAAGGCACTCTTCGAGAGCGTGTTTAGCGGGCCGCGGGGCTTCGGCTGGCATCGACGATATCGCTTTAAAAATCTCCACAAGACGCCCAGCGGCGAAGTAAGCAGCCGCGTTCATTAAACGCTTGCAAAGTCGCGCCACGCTCTCTGCCCATCTGCTGTTTTGTAATGATGCGACTGAAAATAAAACGAAATCGTAGGGAGCTCATGACATTTACAAATAAAAAAAATATCATTATTTATCGACGATTTAATAAGGAGCTATATATATTTTCAAAGCAGCGAAGGTCATGACGCTACCTATGATGGCTATAAAAATCATTTCCAAAAATGAAATTATGTCTTCTGTGCAGATAAAACTTATATTCTAATATCTATCATTTAATAAGTAGTGCTCTTCCCTTCTTCCACTACGTGTTTTTTATCTTGTAGTAACATAGAATAAACACAAATGCCGGAGTTTTCATCATTTTAGCCCATCACAAGTCCACTGCTGAACATAGAACTCCCCCCAAGGAACGCTACAAAGCACGGTCCTGGGCCACCTGCATACATCGACTTCATGCATCTCTTCCCAGGTCGTCACTCTATATAATGACGGGTCGCCTTACTCTTCGCTTAACGGTAGATAGCCGACGATTAATAAGGTGAAGTGGCCATGAGCTGGCCTTATAGCTCGCAAAACCGACAATCAATGGGGAATAAGTGTTCTTGAGTTGCAGCCTGGATTTCGTATAAATATAATTCATTCGGCTGCAGCAATCTACTGTACTGGACATCGAAAATTCCCATAGCAGGGATAATTTTTTCTAATTGGGGTCTCAGGGGTGACAACTGATAACGCATTTATAACTTCGTTGTAGCCACTTACCATCAGGTGGAATGTTAGCTTGTTTGACATTCTGATATTACAAATATATAGAATATTGCCAAAAATAACTTACCGGTTATACCGCAACCATACACCAAATCAATAAATGTCTCCGACGAGAAATTTACAATTTGCTCCCGGTAGCATTTCTCCAAAAGCTCCTTGGGCAGTGTAGCAAACGCTTTGGTAGGCCATACTTTAGTGAAATATTTTGTTATCCACCTTAAGCATTTGCGATACAAATCGTCCAGACCGTACACCGACGTCAGCGGGAAGCATTCCAGAACACCCGCTATACACACCTGACAAGGCTAAAAAAGATATTACAAAGAAAAATAAAATAAATCGTCATTTTCTTTATTTAAGCTTTATCATTTCTGTTGCATTACTTTACAAGAATTTAAGAAAAATGCTACGCCTTTGATGGATAGAAATTAATTTATACCCAGCTTATCATAGATTATATCCGAAGGTTAAAACGCCGGCTTTTTTTTTTTCATTCTTAATCATTGATGTTGTGATGCGCTTTCACATAGTTACAAAAGCGCATAATATTACGTATTTTATAGTCCCATTGCAAGTCACAGATTTTCTAGCACATAGTGCTATGAAGCTTTAAGGTTAAAAAATTATGATATATGGAATTTAGTAATCAGAAACAAAAAAAAAATCAGTACCCTGTGAAAATGGTGACAATATTTAGTCTTTAGCGTGAACATGATGGCTTCCTTGAGCCCTTCTAAGCCCAACATGTCGGCAATCGTAGCGAGCTCCACGATACTTATTGTATCAGGGATCACTGATATGCCCGAATATATGTGGCATAAAACAAACAGTACTACGTTGTGCGAAAATCTGCAAACGAAATATAATGCATTAGAAGTGGCGTTTACCACTCTGTACTGCGGGTCTGTTGCGAAAATTAATTGATTTTTACTACTTCCATTACTTACTTGATTCAACAGATTTTTTGTTATCTTTCGTTATGTAGATTAAAAATATATTGTCGTTTGAAAAGCTTTAAAAGGGTTTCCGATTCTCTACAATCACCATACGAAACACAGCAGTGTTAAGCTGCTATTTTACGCTGGTATTTTGTGAGAGCGTGGTCCTTCCCCGGTCGATACGACCCATTCGTGCCACAACTATACTACTAATACAGCTGCAGCATGGCTCTACCACGTATGAAAATAATAATTAAATAACTACTTTAAAATCTACCCAATATAAAACATTTGTACCACTTGCATTGTACATATGGTTTAATTGTAATATCGGGGAGTCAATGGATTTGCATTTTAAATTATTTTTCTTATTTTAATTAATTACAACAACAATATGTTAGCGTAAATGAGTTCAACACACTGTTCCAGTGAAGTTTACGTATAATATTACAAATATATAAGTATAAATTTTCTTCAAATCAGCAGTTTCAAATATTACCAAACATATAATATTACTCACGGTGGCAAAATAATAACATTGCCAGCACTTTCCACCCAACCACCGCTTAGAATACCCGCAAAATACTGACATCTGGAACAATTTTATGAAATCAATATAAACAATATAAATATCCACGGCTTCGCTCGCGTTCAAACTGTAATATTAGTTGCAATAAGCAAATAACGTCAAGCTGTATAATCTAAGATCTAAATTAAGATCTAATCACTTATTTGCTAGAAAAATATACTTAAAAGTATTTTAATTAAGTATAATATTATGTAACAATTACGATTGCCTAGTTAAATAATATGTTCATTGTTCATGGCTATCCTTAAATAAAATACTGTAACATTTATTTTAACATTTGCGTACCAAACAAATTTAATACCTACCAATCAAAAGTACAAAGCATAGGGAACATGCAAAGTTAGATTGCCTACTTTGTACTACTCCCTATTACCGGGTTGGCCGTGTAGTGGCAGGATAAGACTATTCACTACCCCGTACCGTGCCGTGGGTTTCGTAAGTGGCGACAGAGGAACACTGAAACAGGAGATGAGCAGAAGCGTCTTCCTGATAACAGCGTAATCCTCCAATATGAGATTCTCTATAGGGGAGGCCTATATTCAGCAGTGCATTCCATTGGATGTAATGAATTACCGGGTTGTCAGGGATATACACAACACACAACACAAACACTCACGCCTGTCACCCAGAGGGGTAGGCAGAGACTACGGACTTCCATTTGGCGCGATCCTGACACACCTCTCTCGCCTCCTTTACATCCATATATCTACGCATACACGCTCGTCGATTAAGGGTACTCCTAATATAGCCCATTTTCAATGTATCGCCGATTTGGTCAATAAACCTACGTCTAGGCCGTCCCTTCCCGACACTGCCGTTCACTTCTGCAACATAAATTTGCTTTGTCACTCTTTCACTCGTTCATTCTTTCTACATGACCAAACCACCGAAGCATTCCTTTTTTAATCCTGGTCACAACGTCATCTTGCAAACCACACTTTTCTCTTATCACACCATTTCTCACCCTGTCATTCAGATACAACCCTAGCATACTCCTTAATGACGACATTTCTACAGCATTTATTCTACTCTCATGCTTCTTCTGCCAGACCCAACTTTTACTACCATACATTAAAGTAGGGAGTAGGGACTAACACAGCATTATGAATTGCCATACGTGCCTTCTTTGACACATTCTGACTCTTCATAATAGGGTGTAGAGCCCCATTCACTCTATTTCCTGCCAGGGATATATAAACATACAACCAATTTGCACCCATCTGCTTTTTCATTAATTTACATATTATAATACTCGTAATATTATTGCGACCGGTGGTATAAGGTTGCTTGCGAATAACTGCAATGTAAAAATGAATTACGATTGCCAGACTTTGAAATTTGAAAATTGGAGCGGCTAAGAAAAGAAAGAGCGACAAAGAAACATTGCACGTACTATTATAATATATTCTGTGTAATAGAGGCTGCAGCATACGAGAAGCAGCTACCCGTGATCCGATTGTCCGATGACAGAAGGTGCACATGTTCTAGTTTTGTGAAATATTGAAAAAGATAACCCATTTAATCTATGTGTAAATTAAAAATAATGAAATATACCGTTATTGCATTTTTTGACAATACAAGTTTATTCGCTCGGCTTCTACTTTTATTTGAAATTATCCCAAATTGCACATTTAATTTGGGATAATTTTATGGACAACACTTACGCGTGCGCGGGCTCCTGTGTGTGCGATTCAATTCAAAACGTTTTTGCCGACGAATGTGTGCGTGCGTAGTAAAATAGTAGGCGTATTAGATATTTATGAATTACAATCAGTTGAAGTAATGCATTACCACGCATTCTAAATTTAAAATATAAAAAGGGCAGAAAGTTTGAAATATTTTTGATTGATTTTTATTTACCATATGCCTATATTACTTATTCTGAACCTTCTCTGCAAATTTAGGCATATATTGCAAAATAACCCTATATAATAATATGTAATTGTATCTAATCAATCATTCACCACGCGCGACCTGCATAGGTACTATGAGTCATTTGTTTACTATTTGAGACACTATGTGTCACCGTCAACAACCTATCAACAAAAGCATGCCGCAGGTGGTATTTATTGTCATTTGGCGTAGCATTTGCATGCAGTTTAGACGACTTTCTGAAGAATATTAACAAGCGTTGCATGTGAAGTGAATAAATAGACCCGAGGGGTTATTAATACTATTATGATTTCAATTCGGAGACAAAAAATTGTTATCATTTATTGCATAACATTTTAGAGGGATAAAATTTTTAAAAACCAGTAAATGCAATGCAAGCAAGAGCACGATATCATCGTTACCGTTTTCACGTTTTATGGCCGCGAATATCGCGCGACTGGGCGTCTATACTAATGTTAAGGCGATACCTCGACCTAAACCTTGCGACAATGCGTTTTTCTTAGTTATTCAGAGACTATTATCTCATTAGTTATGAGAAATAAACTACAACTAAAAGCACATTATTAATTTTCGATATTCTAATTCGTTTTTATGTGTTATAAATACATTTAAAATCTACTTTTAAAAATGACTAAAATTCTTGATTACATGCATCTGTTGCTAAAGGCAACGCTCTAATCATTTGAGGATTACACTAATGGATAGATAATTTTAAAATCTATATTATTCACGTTTTGTTTGATTTTTATAGTTCGCTTTTCTTTTTTAATTAAAATTAATTCCAAAAATTGTGTGAATTCTATGATAAATGGGCGTACGCAGAGTGCGGGCGGCAGTGCACTACATGCTTAAGGTTATTTGGTCAGGGAAACGCCTTAAAGACTCGCTGCCCGCGATGCAATAAATTGGGGAAACAGGACGCTGCCTGTTGCGTTTAGCAAAGATGGAATATGCCAAAAAGATCTTACGAATCTCGAGATTCGTCATTATCATCTTTTTAAGTTAATTGTTAAACATCGCCTATTTTCAAAGGCGCTTGGTCTCCGACGAATCCTATTGGTTTTATAAGTATAACTTTTTATATAAGAAATTTTCGTAAACAACCTTATACACCACGGGTTCGCAATAAAATTATTATTATTTTTATGTATTCTATTTTAACAAGAAATACGAACCTATTGCCAGTAAATATATTTAGAGCTAGTAAACCAGTAATAGATAATGGAAAAAGGTAAACAAGATAACAGTTGCATGTTTCCTATGCTCGAATGGTATTAAATTTAATTAGTAATAAAGTGAATGAAAAGTATTATTAAAATAAGATATTAAAAACCCTACATAGTATCCGGTAAGCTTATCAACTGCAGCTTATCAGTGAAGAACGACCTTAGTTCGGATCTTGTATTAGTATGAATCTTGAATCTAGTCAATTGATTGAAATAAAATGGTTGTTTTAAGTGAGGTTTGCAATAAGATTACATCGGAGCTGCATTAGTCAGTAATATTAACTACATAATGTAATATTCATTTTCAAAACGTGTCAAATCGTTTAAATATTTCATAAAACACTACTTGAAAGAAGCATTATTTTATAAAGAAACAAAGTATTTTTTTTTAAATAAGGGTGACAAACGAGTACACAGTCCACCTGATGGTAAGTAGCTGCTGTGGCCCATAGACATCTACATTTTATCCTCGATTAAGAATCAAAATGCAGATGCGTTATCACCCCTGAGGACTAAGATGGAATGCCTCGTCTATAATATAAAAAAAAAATCGCTGAATGTGTTGCTAAGTGCAAATCTCGAGAGCAGCTGAACCGATTTCGCTAATTCTTTTTTTATAATATTCCTTGAAGTACGAAGATGGTTCTTACGGAGAGAAAATTTTAAAAAATTGCCTGAAAAAGTCTAAAAACAACACTTTTCTATATTCTCATACAAAAGATTCGTAATAATACTTAAAAGTCAATTTGAACTTTAATATCATACCATAAAGTTTAGGTGTTAGTGGAGGGGTTCCGGGAAGGCAAAACAATTGAGTGACGTTAGTATCGTATAAATATTATTGTCAATATTTATACACACTGATAGATAGCTGATGTTATAAGGAGTAACTTGGGCTGCTTTTATTTTAGGGTTCCGCGAAAAATAACTCCACGCGGACGAAGTCGCGGGGACAGCTAGTTTCCAATAAAAAGGGTCTCCGGTTACACTCACTATACGAAACAAAGCAGCATTAAGCTGCTATTATACCCACTCATCCTACAACCATAAGATAGCTGCAGCATGGTTCTACCACTTATGAGGTTAATAGTACATAATGTATGCGTAGCCTACACGCATACATTATGTACTATCATTATAGCTTATATGCAGACAAATCAACGTTTCAACGCATAGTCATAAGAGTAATCGTTATTGATCAACACTACTTACCAGTTCCCTAAAAAAATCTTCTATTACATAATTCAAGTGATACTTTGCTAGAAATAATCACAAATATTGTATTTTCATGCATTTAGTGGCGTTACTCGTTCGTGTGTAAAATAACAGCCCGAATATATTTGTTTTCTTTACAAGTAAATGTACCCATATTACTATTATATAAATAAATTTTATCGTTACCGTTACAGTCAATTGAAGTACACTGCTGAACATAGACCTCCCCCATAGATTGCCTTATGGGGGAGATATTTGTCATAGTTACCACGCTTGGCAAGCGGGTTGGCAACAGCAAGTTTTTATTTTTAGTCGTTATTAGGAAGACGCTGCTGCCCATCTCCTGATTTGTTTTCCTCTGTCGCCTCTTACGATACCCACGGGATGATATGGGGTAGTGGATAATCTCACTCCGCAACTACGCGGTAATTTAGTAATATTTTGTAATATTTAAATTAAATTTAGTAATATTTCAATAAAATTATTATTTTATCGAAATATTACTAAATTTAACATTACACACAATTTTATTAAAAAATCCGATAGGAGCGTACACAAATATGAAGTTTGTCAAGGTCATTATTTGTATTTGTCTGCAATGATGAGATCATAAGTACTAAACAGCAAGTACCTTGATGACAAAATGCACTTGTGCGCCTTTATACGTTTGCCAGAGACTTCAACTATGACATCAGGTGCTATTTCCTCTAAAAACATCCGTAACAAGTCTTGACCCAGACGAGATTGGCAGCTGGCTATTAAACTAGATGTCTGGCTTGTGTCTTCAGTAGTACTATTATCTGTAAAATAAAAATTAATTCAATATGTAGTACAGCTACTAATAAAAGTAATTCGCTTTCAAGAGATTGATTACACCTATAGTCGGAGGTAATTAGTATTTTACTTTTGTTGTTGTTTTATTTTTTAGTTGGTTTACGAAATAATCTTCTAATATATAAAAACTAAAGTTTATATGTTCGTATTTTATGCACTGCCACACCGTTGATCAGATTGCTCTAAAACTTTATCGACTTATTGCTTGCACTTGCGCGAAGGTTATAGGCATGAAGCTAATACAAAGGGGAGACGGCATAAGCAACTGTGCACTGTGATTCTAAGTAGGTCCTGACGTCATCATAGTGGGCGTGGCTTTAGTTTGTATACTGTCAGCATTCATCCTGTGTGCTTATGTGTTCAAAATAGCAAATCCGTGTATTTTCGTAGTATTAAGAAGAAAAGGATGAAGTATTGTGTTTTATTGTGTAAAAACTACTCAGATAGACGCTCTGATGTTGTGGATGGCATCACATTTCATTTGTAAATATTTTTACATCTAATTTATTAAAATAGTTCTAGAAAAATCTCCTTGCGTCGGCTTTCAAATATAATTAAATATATTCCACACTAGATGGCGACACTTTGTGTCCTGTGAACTAAAAATATAAAGGTACGTAGAGCTCAGTAATTATAAAATAATCATACGAAGGTGCTGAAATTAGTTTAATGAAATTAAAATAATAATAATGAAATTTTAATCGCCAAAATATTATTTTTTAGTTTATAACATTTTGTGGACATGCCGCCATCTACCGTCAAGGTAGCTAAGCTACATTGCAACATCGATATGCAAAGATTCGAGTAGTTTTACTATTTATCAGTAGATGTTGATAGTGTAAAGTGGGCTGGGCTTTGCATCCCCTCACCCCGCAAATTGTCACGCGTTGTTACATAGTGAAATTTAATTACAACGTCTCCTCTTTGTATTTGCTTCATGGTAGGTATAGTACAATTAACTTACAGTAGATGGCGCGCATACCGACATATAATTTGAAAGTTTTGATCATTCTTCCAAATTTAAAACGATATTTGCACTATAATTATTTCTTCTGCGGCTGCAACGCGCTGGGTACCAGCTTGTGTATTATAAAATGATCTTTGATGCGCAAAGTTTTTCTTAGTTTATTAACATAGGCGAACCCAAGGAATGCCATAGAACACAGTCCTAAGCCACTTTCATAAGTAATAATAAAGTAAAATAAATAATGGGCGTAGTCGTAGTTACTCTCTAACTACAGTACAATAATATGTGACGCATTTTGCTCGATAAGCGTAAATGAATAAGAAAAGGTAAATCATTTTTGTAATTAACGAAAATCATCAAGTTCTATGGCCTTCTTTGTAAGCATGAAAATAATTATAGCTCGCGTTGTAAGAAAGAGAAGAAAACTCACCAACAACCGAGCGACAGATACTACTTTGGACACTGCTTAGTTCCGAGATGTCTGATGTTTGCTCATCTAGTTCTCCGTGACTCGAAGAAGCTCCTTGACGTAATGGAGACTGAGTTCTACCAGACAGAGATCCAGGCATACTTTTGCTGAATTCATTTTTCAAGTGAGGAAATAACCTGTTTAAACTTAACGCGTTTTCAGAATGAAATGAGCTCATTATTTCCGTAGACCTCGAAGTTGACGCATGATTTTCTCTCCAATTATTTTCAGGAATCGATCTTGTCATCCTTACATCTAATCTATCGGTACCATTATGTTGTTTTAAAAAGGACATTTCGATGTCAGTTTTATTAATGGGTTTATCTAAATCTGACAACTTAACAAAAAGATCAGGAGACTGTTGAATTACTGGTTCTTCTTCAATTATAGTTGTTGCAATTGTGTGATGTATTTTATCCCCGTTAACACCACGCCAATGCTCGATTTTCTTTGTTGAACTCAAATCAATATCTTTCGTTTTAGACTGTTCCTCGGGAATAGCAATAATTTCAGATATACTCACGTTTGGATCATTGCATAATGACTCATATTTTTCAAAAATGTCTACGCCACTGTTTTGTTCCAGTATTTCATTAGGCTGTGTTTCATGGATATTAGATATATATTTTCCGGTCTTTGAAGTCTTCGTTACACTTTTTGTATCATTTAAAATATGCTTTTTTGTGTTAAGCGAAGACGAAAGTCTAGCAGGCATTTCTTTTAAGGTTGATTTCTCACCTAAATCTATGTACATCGAAAACATGTTCTTTTTCTCAGCCAGCATTTCGTTATCTTTATTATTCTCTGGTGGTAGAGGATCAGGTAAGCTTGATAGATCAATATAGAATTTATGACTGGATTTTTCACTACTATCGGAATCCACGGAACCACTTTTGTTACAACTTTCAGTATAGTTGGTAAATTTAGATTCATTTTTTAAATTTTCACATGTTCGGTCTCCAGGTTTATTGTTACTGATATTCACATTAGAACTTCTATCATCAGACTTTATACCTGACATATCAACTACCCAAGCGGAGACACAAGTTTTTGGAGATTTTTTGCTATTACAGACATCAAATTTATTGACTGGTCCATCAGATGTTTCCGATGAGTGCTCTAAAATTTTGCAGTTTTGGGGCAAATGGTCTTCTATTGAAGCTCCTCCTGAAATGATAGGTGATGATTCATTATACTTTACATTTATATTCTTTTTTAAATCTCTTTCCATAGTTGCCACATTACTTTCACTTTCTTCTAAATTAAACAGTTTGTTGTTTATTGTGGAGTCTTTGAGTGACAAAATGGAATTATGTGGTGTATCCGACATGAATACAGTTGTAGTAGAATCTGATTCAGGTTTCCTTATTCTGTTATTAGCTTCTTCTTTTATATCAGCATCAAGATGTGTTGTATTTTCAAAAACATTTGTGCTGAATGAATCTTCCGTAATAGGTGTCATTTCAAAAATTGTTGGTGACAAATCTTTTTGTATCGAATCTGGATCCCTGTTATCTCCTTGTTCTAAAGAATCTTCGATTTCATTGCTTTCGGACCAATCATTTGGACTAATATCCTGTTTATTAACGGTGGTACACGGCACTGGCTGACTTGGAGCAGGTAGGGTATCAGATTTCTTCTTTTCTGATTGCTCTTTTTGTACATTATAAGACTTTGGTATAATTTGTGTATCGTCTTCTTCGTCTACTAAACTTGCAGCATCAATGAAACAAGCAGTAGATTTAAAAGGTGACTTTTGGACTAAACTTGGAGATAAATTTTCCGGAAAATTAGTAGGGCATTCTTTTATAATTGTAACATGATCGTTAGTAAATTGTCTTTCGTTATTGATAAATTTCTCACAAATTTCTTTTTCAACTAACTTTGGAGGGAATACCGATTCCCACGACCCTGTTTCGGAAGACACCGAAGAAGATTCCAAAATTACTATTTCTTCATTTTGTCGCTGTTTTTCTTCCTTTGATGAGTTGCTCGCCATTGTATCTTTTATTTTAGGTGGTGAAATGCATTTTTGTCCATTACTAGTATCAGTAGACGTACCACTTAATGATGCTTTATCACCACGCGAGGAAATGTATTTCCATTTTTGAAACTGATTTTCTCCTGTTGAACTAGTCGGAGTATCTTGTGGATGATTTAAATCACCTGTCAGTTCGTGAATCGTGCTTTCTGTCAAGGAGATATCAGTTATTGTGATATCTTTATGGCTACTTAGACTCTCCAATAAACCAGTGTTCTCCAATCCCGAATCTGACGAGGTGAATATGTTATCCATTTTCGTAATGGTATCCCCAACATTTAATTGCGGTAGGCAAACTGAAGAGCTTATTCCAGGGGAACAATTGTAAGCTGCAGATAAGTAATCTGATGACGAACTAGGATCGTCAGTAATTAAGCTGTCTGGTGAATAATTTGGATCGATTATTTTACCAACGACTGATTCGCCGTTACTTAAAGACTTATTAGTATTATGGAAAGTTTTAATAGATTCGGAACCTTGGGATATTTTAGATTTATGACTAGTAAAAGTGATTTTCTTGTCTATTACTTTATCGTTTTGAAGGGAAGTATCTTCGTAATGACAGCTAACTAAATTATCACAACTGTTGGAATGTTTTACTATTTTCGATGTGTGACTAGAAGTAAGGGACAGAGTAGTAGGTTTAGCCCGAGGTGAAATCAGGGATTTATTAATCTCTTTAGGTTGAGTATTTATAATAGATTGAAACGCATTAGATAAAGCATCTTGTTCGTTGAGCTCTTGTTCAAGTAAATTTCCGTCTATTGGTACCAAAGCATAGTACTCCTTCGTCAATTCTGTGCTTGGGCTAAGACAACTATTTTTAAAATCTTTATCAGTATATGGACTTAGACACTTAGGTGTCAAAAAAACTTCATGCTCATCGGTGGTAACAAACTCGGTTCGTTTTTTAGGCTCTGTAGAATCAATTTTTTCTAGTTTAAATTTTTCATTTAAATATTCAATAATTTCCTTTTCTTGATTCTTTATGTTACATTCAGTGTATGCATCACTGTAAAAGAAACTTGATTGAATTATTTGTAAATATATACATAAAAATAATAATATTTTGCACGAAGAATTTTTGTAGGAAGTACTTAATATTTCTTTACCTTATAAAAGAATATATTTCGTCAAAGATACTGCGTCCAACATTGACATGCAAGAAAGTTTCAAGTTTATGATAAAATTTATTAGTACGTGCTTTTAGTATACAAGAATGCGTAAGTATTTTTAATTTCCCACATGCCACCTCAAGATCTGAATATATTGACTCGTCAAATATTCTGGAAACAAGAATTTGAGGATAAAATAATAATTAGGCGTTAGTATGCAGTTAGTACGTTACATTGTTAAAATGTCGGTGACGTAAAAAATTAAAGAGATTAGTGACTACTAACCTTTTTTACGTTATATTTAGCTAACTAACGCAAGGTTTGATTGTATCATGTTAAATTATAACAGAATTGTCATCAACTGAAATATAAAACCTACCTCGCAACATCATCTTCCAGTTGCCTCTGAAGGTACTCCTCGAGTAGAGTCGCTTCTTCTGAGGCTGACAACTCACTTGCCGGGACAGGCTTAGCCCTCGTGTCCGGCATTAAGCATTTCAGAGGTCAGGGATGGATCTATGAACAAAAATTTAATATATTAAGACTGGTCATTGTGTTTTACTATGCTAATTTGAAACCATAATAATATAATGAGCTTGACAAGGAGGTAAAAATTTGGCATTCAAATATATCTATTATTATTAAAGCTTATTTTGCGTACATCACATTAGTTTTTGTTTCACGTCAATACATGCAGTATACCGAAGTTATTACTACGAGAAATTCGGAGGGGTTTTTCAAATTTCCATGATTTCGCGCGTTCGTGGCGTGACGTCATCTCTTGCGTCTCTATAACTACGGCCACACTACCTTACCGCCAACTGCCCGTTTACCGCAATAATTATGGTATTCAATTACTGCCTAAATTATTGCGTGAAGTAGTGTTGTTACAATAGTTTACGTAGATATGATAATGAACTCAGCGGAAAAAATGTCATATTTCAAGATGAAGGTTGAAGCTGTGGCGATGTTGTTCTTAATGAGTGTCAGTTACTATTATATGGAATCTCTTACATTTTAACAAAGCTAAACCAAGGCTTAAAAGAACATGGTGGATGATAAAAATGCACAGAAAGCGTAATAGGTTAGCCTTTTTTCCGTTGAGCTCATGTCGCAGACTGAACAAACTGCAGTGTGGGCACTTGAATCAAAAATTACCGCGGTAATCGTCTTTGATGTGCGATAAAGACCGCAACCGGAGCTATTGCCTACCGCCATATGACATATTGATTGACACTGTAAAATCATGGGCATATGTCGTGGCTACACCTAGGCGTCGGTTCCTTCAATTATGACCATAATTATTGGCACAGCACGGTAGTGTGGCCGTAGCATAATTGCTAAGCTATTCGTCTACGTATGCAATGGTCGAACACGCTTGTACTTTCGCATTTTTTTTTAATAAGTTTGTAAGAATTGTTAACAATTTAACATGGAGACGGCTATGAAAAAGTGCAATCTGGCAATTTCCTATAGTGAGCGGTTTTGTGGTAGCTTAATATTCCTTATTATGTAGTGACTGGCAGCAAGATTAACTTACCTATGAAGTAGTAAAAGGTTAGTTAGGAATATTATGGTCATGTCGTACTTAAATCAAAGCTGTTGCAAAGCTAACGGCCGCATTAGGCGAAAATTTTACTAAGTACTAAACTTGTGTGAAGCAGACGCAACATTTCCACTTAAACATTCACTCAGAATATTCTTAATAATTTCTGTTTTTTTAGGTTTTTCTACTACAGACTGTACAGATTTTCATTTGACTGCGTATATGACGACCTGTGTAGTGTAACTCACTATCAGGGGCTCCAGGTTTGATTTCCGAGCAGGAAAGATTCTGGGTAGATGTGTTAATGTATGAATGATATTTTTGGAGCCATGTTTATTCAAAATAGTTATTCAGGTTCTAAACATAGTTACAAATATTTCACACAAATTCTTTAAATGCAGGTCTCAAGCTTCGTAGTCTTGCCTGTCGTATACAACGTTTTTATTGCAATTTTATATGACTATTATAAAAAATTATTACACAATACTTATATGACAATTTTAGTCAAAAATAGTAATCACAGCGGTGAGTGAGCCGCTCGAAATAGTAAGTAGAAAAAACAGGGCGCGGCGTGAAACGAGAGAAGACGTCATCGCGCTTTGTCCGGCCGGCCGGCCGGACGGACGATAACATCGCGCGGGAAGTGCACGTTAGTGTTTCACAGCATTATTTCAGCCATTTTTCAAGGTAGGAAATAAAAACACCATTTTTCTTAGAATTTTGTCTAGGTTCGTAACAATCACATAACAAAAATCGTTGGTCTTGTCAAGTATTTCAGTCGGTGAATACTGCAATAAATCATTTTTGTGACGCTGTTGTCCTGGCCGATATTGACTAATAAATCAAAAAATAAGAATAGACATAAAATATAAAAATATATTCTTAGATGATTAACCGCTTTACTTAGCGGCTAATTTATTTTCAGACCTTTAACTTCATTGAGTTCCACAAAGTAACGTCAATTCAATTAGTTGTCAAAAGCACAAGACGATTTGACGTAAGAAGTGAGAGCAGCTGAGCGGCAGAATTACGGTATTTCAATAAGCTTCGCTTTTTTTTCAGTTAATCCCCTATACCTCGTACCATAGACTTAGAATATACTGACGTATAGACCTAGATAGTGTGCAAGGGAGAAGAAAATTTCTTATGGCAAAAATGCAAGATAGAAAAGGATACCAAATCTCATGACTCTGTAACCGATTTTGAATGACAGGTCGGCACAATTCGGCATGCAAGAAATAGCTATTAGATGTTTTGTAATTTTTAGAGTGTAATAGTGGTTATTTCTATTAAGTAACTTTTTTGCAAAATGAATACTTAATCTGCGAGTGACTGTGGTGTTAATAATAGAAATAATCCTGATAATTGCACCTTTCACAGGTAAATTCTCAAGACGTCGTCAATGTTATCATGCGTTTATTTTTGGTTAAAATTTATGTTATATAATGTGTAAAATATAGTTTTCAATTATTTTCTTAATTTTGATATTTTGCAAAGAAAAAGTGACGTTTTGATAATTTGGGATTAGGGATTGACTCAACTGATATAGTTGAAATTATAAATTAATGTCGATATTTATCTTGAATGTTTATAATAAATCGACAGAGTTCAAGAAAATAAATCTTCGGTTTGCGTTCTATAATGTTATTTTATTTTGCCTTTTGTCAAACAGATTCTCTCCGGATTCTATAATTAGCAAATATAGTTAATGTTAATTGGACGGGTTGGTTGAAATCCAAAGAAGAACTCAACATTTTGCAGCAAACATTTTCTTGAGAAGTATGCAAGAAAAATAAAAACAATTTTATTAAAAGGAACCATTCCTACATTATTTGTACCAGTAGGTAAGTGTAATAAATAATAATATTGTTACAGTAGGACTTCAAAAATTTAACTTCAAAAGCTTTAGGTAAAAATAGAGATAAATTTTATAAGTTATAAAACTGTAGTATATTAAAAATAAAATATTTTGACATTATTCCATTAAAGCAAATATGAACCGAACTGAGTATCTATTCATCAACCAAAAGAATGTATAACCTTACTTAACCAACCGCAACTCACGGTCTCATTAGTACAATATTTATAGCATCACGTTATTTTCCCTAAGGGGTTGAGTGGAGCCTCGGATTATATACCCAAGTCACAATGATAAAACTTTTAATGTAGTTAGATATAGATATTTAGTAATGCTCCTGAAGCGCCGCTAGATGCCCGCGTATGAGATGCGTAGTTCAGCTTGCAAGGATAGTATAAATTCCATAGTATTTGATACTCAGAACGCCCAATGCCTGATTTATGCTTGATACCCGACGACAGTTTGTCGAGGGTTAAATAGCGTGGTTTGTTGCCTACGGCGTTATGCGTAGAGGAGATGTTCTTTTGGTTTATTAACAACTGCGCGGATCAATAGTTCTGCGAGATTAAGTCGCCCTTGTCACATTCAGTCCATCGGAAGGGTCACCGTTTTTTTAACATACCGAGATTGAGAGAATAGACAGTGCATCTGTACCCTCAGATACCTGGTACACTTTTATATCTCCTACGTATTTGGCTAGTCTGTGTAAGATCATTGTTTTTAAATTTATGCAGCTAAAATGATAATAAGTTTGTTATTTTACAGGGACAGATGAAAGAAAGAGAGAGTAGCCACATAAACATATTGGCATTTAGACAGAGCTAATTAAGTTTAACTTATTCCTACAAGTTACCTTACTTAAATTATTAAGTTTAAATGCATATTTAAGTCGAATGTTAAAATTAATTTTTATAATGTATTTAATTATTAAATTTTTGTAATTATTATAATAATAGTTATATGAAAAATAAAGCAGCCATTATGTAGTCCGTGTCTCCCTTTTTTATTTCAACAGCAAAACATTTTATAAAGTATGTAAAGTATAAATGGGTTTTTAGTCAATTATCTACCTATTTATAGTTTATTAACATTATTTTTAAAAAAAATCCGGAGAAACTGTTCATGGCATAGTTTTGTCTAAAAGTCATACATAATTCGAAAATACATCTTTCTGATCTGTCTTGGAGGAAATTGTTTAAGTTTATCGGTAGACTCACCATTTCAGAGATTATTGGGAATTTGTACATTTTGAATTAAAATACAACAAAAGGCAGGTAGGTAGGTGTAGCTTATTTCCGGGAACATGTTATTTGAATATTTTTTTATCATTTTTACCGCTTCCTTAGCAATCATTTTTCGATAGTACTTGTACGTAAAATGCACATCACTAGCTAACGCAAACAATGACAAATCAAAATTGGTTACACATTTTCAGATTGTCAGGTCACATCTATACGCCAGTATATTCTCTTCTATGCCTGGTACATGAAACGGGGACTCTTTTAGTTTGACCGGCATATATATACAATACAGTCGTTAAATCAATTTAAAAAAAAATTATATTATTGAAAGTACATATCGCACCTCCGATAAAATAAGGTTACAACTCGAAAAAGTCGAATTTTGAGTTAAATATACAGAAATATTTGAAATTTTATGAACTATCTTCTCCAAAATGGTTACAAATGTAACTCTAAATCTCGGCGCTAGATGAAGTTGTAACGGTACATGACTATAGCATTTTGACTCGAGAATGATCTCTATTAGTACATACATACATAACATACATAAACACTCACGCCTGTCACCCAGAGGGGTAGGCAGAGACTACGGACTTCCATTTGGCGCGATCCTGACACACCTCTCTCGCCTCTTTCACATCCATATATCTACGCATACACGCTCGTCGGTTAAGGGTACTCCTATTATAAGGGATCTCTATTAGTGTTAGATAATTATTACATTTAGTGTTATACAGTGTTATAAAAGGTAGACGTGCGTTTGTTGAGACAAGAAGTGTTACATATCAAAATACAACAGTGTTTTAGACGGGTAAAATATTTTTGCTTTTATCAATTTGTCTAA